GTCCTCTTTAAAGCTCCTCCACAGCTATTAGGTCATGTAATCTTCTTAAACCATTTGTGTCTAACCTCTCTTTTGTCTAAGGAATCCCCATCAGAAATATTTTTCTTTTCTCAGGTAGAGTTCCCCTTTATGGGGTTCCTTGAATGTTTTGTAGAAAATAAAATTCTATTCCATTTATAAGCTTTGCCTAAGATAAAAGCAAACCTATCCCTTTCCAGCTAGTCTTCCTTATTACTCAGGTTACTTTGCAAAGTTCTTCAATTGATTGACAAGTTTCACCATTTTTTTCATATAGGTGTAGTTCTTTAGAAGATTGCAGAGATTCAGTAATCACATCAGTTTCTTTATTAGTAACTTTGAGTTGCTCTTCATATTGCTCTATCAGTAAAGACATCATGTTCCTTGTACAGATATGCAAATATTGTTCCCATTTCATCTTAAACTTGCTTGTCATATCCTTAGTGCTCGGAAATATCTTTATGCGTAAAACCCCGAGGAGAAATATTCTTCTCCAAATACCTATTAAAGAAATTAATATTCCCCCACAAACAGGACTTCCTCTCATTCAAATCTTTTATTTTAAACAGCAACCCGAACATTTCCTTATTTGTGGTATGCCTAGATTTTCTCCCACCATCTTTTTGGACTTACCACAACATATCATCCCAGAAAATAGCATCCATATTGAACAAAGATAAAACAAATAATTTGTATATGCTCAAATTAAAGCTTGAAGGTTTTTACCTGAATGCATTCTGTGCATCAACTAGTTCAGCTCTTTGGATGTACTAGCTATGTTCAAACAGGGGTAGGGGTCATCACAAGCTGATGGCTGCAGTAGTACCCATCAGCTTGTGCAGGCTTTCTTCAGTTGGCTTCTGGCTTCAAAGTGAAAGTGATGTGGCGGCACTTTCACGGAGCGGGCGGCATGCCAATGGCACACCTACACTTCTGCTAACAGCAACATGTTTTTGATTCAGATGTGGGAAAGCACGCTATTACATGAAGTATATAGTGTGAACCTAGGGTTAGGATGGAAAAGTAAGAAGGGTAGGTCATGGGTAGGTTATGTAGGCCTCTACCTTGCAATGGCTCGAGTGGGTTCTAAGGTCATGTATATTTGGAAAATTTCAAAGGATACATAAGAGAGGTTACATAGTTACATTTAGTTGGTAAGGTTTAATATAGACACTGGTCTATCCAGTTCAATACACCCAATGCACTGTAGAGAAGACCTCTAAAACCATCAAAAATCAATTGCCCAGAGCCTCTGGTGGACCACCTAGCAATATCAACAAAAAAGAAAACTATTTAGTTCCAATATCATGAGGCTGAAATGGACTGACCATTATCAACTTATATCACAAACTATGAATAATAAACAGCGACTAGTGAATAACTTTAATACATAGATTTAAAAACATATATTGCCCTCTGAATCACCATTCTATACCCATAAAACCAGAAACCTACAGTGAAGAAATATCATCCATCATACACTTTTTCTGGTATTAAAAAGGGTATATGGTAGATATTCCAGGGCTTCCTTAAAGTGAAACTAAAGCTTTCATTTTTTTGCTTTTATAAAATAACAAACATGTCATACTTACCTGCTCTGTGCAGTAGATTTGCACACAGCTGCCCAGATCCTCTTCTTTTCAGGTCCCCCGCAGGCGTCTGGCTCCTCCCTCTTGAGCAGTACCCCCAGTGATAGCTGCTTGCCCTTGGGGCACCACTGCGTACTTGCTCCCGAGCCGCTGCTCTATGCGTCCTTTTGATACATAGAGCTGTGGCTCAGCCCCGCCCCCCCCTCTCCTCATTGGCTTATAGGTGAGGATTGAGGGGAGGTGTGGCTGGGGGAGCTGCTGCGCAGAGAAGGTTTTTTACTTTCATGCATAGAATGCATGTAGGTAAAAAACCTTGAGCCTTTACAACCACTTTAAACCATTTTTTATATTGCAGTTTGCAGTAACTGGTTATAAAGTATTAGCTGGAGTTTGACTTTGATTAGTTACTGTTTTTAAATCTGCTAGTACATGTAACACTCTCCTCCCCCCAGACTGACAATGCTGCTGTCTGCTGTGCCTCCTGTGCTCATTCGTCTAGAGTGGTATCTTGCTAACGCAGGAGGTCTGTTTCTGGCCAGATCACCAGGTGAAAACAGAGCGAAAAAGGCGAATAAAAGAAAAGTGATGCAGTCACAACATCTAATGATTGGTAAGCTGCAATATAGTACATTTTTGGTCTTCGGTTTAGTACTACCTTATAAAAGCGAGAGCAGCAGTGACTAGTCTTTATTAATGGAATCTCCTGCACAGAGGCAGACAGAGGCAGAGTTGAATTACTGCACAGATCTGGAAGAATTACACAATACACACCAAGATTCAAGTAACTATACATATCCCTCTTGTATTTGGACAATACTTGTTAATCCCAGAGTTCAGCTTGAATGGCTCATTCACACTACCCACAGAGGAATCTCTGGTGCCAGCTTGGGAAGCAGTGATGCGGTGCTGCATTTTTTACAGTGGAAGGTACTGTTTACTTTTTTCCCTTAACTTTTTGAAATGCGACAAAGTGATGTTTCCTTCAGGCACAGACAGGGCTTTTGGGAGGTCTTTGAAAAAATGAAAGTACCAGATTCAGATCCCAGGAAGACACAGGAGATCAAAGTGGGGGATTAACATGAGCATGCCCGTCTACAAAGGACTTAACAGTGTGTGTGTAAACCCAAAGGCTTCTAGAATAGAATGGAAAAAGCAAAGCCTATCCCTTTAGAGCAGATGTCTCCAAACTGTGGCCCGGGGGCCAGATGTGGCCCTTTGCTTGCCTTTATCAGGCCCTTGGGGCACTATTCCTCCCACTGACACCAACAATGGAGTACTAGTCCACCTGCTGACACCAATGATGTCAATTTTTACTTCCACTATCCATCAAGCATTGTTTACTCCCGCTGGTGCCAGGGCATTTTCTACTCCCACTGACCACAGTCCGACCCCCCTAAAGTTTGAAGGCCAGTAAACTGGCCCTTTGTGTTGAACATTTGGAGACCCCTGCTTTAGAGTAATAGAAGCCAGATGCTCTTGGAGGCCAAGATATTTAAGTGACTGCTCTCGCACAAGGAAAAATTGGTCTTCTAAACGCAATGGTAGATCTTGAGCAAGGTAGGAATAACAAAATTAGTACTGCCCCTATCTTTTAGGACCTGGGTTTCGACAGCTATGCAGTTTAAGCCAGCGACTGAGAAGCAGGGTAAAACAGAGGGCCTTGTTTCAGGAGGTCAGGCCTGTTTGAAAGAGGCCCTGGCTTATCTGCCAGGAGTCAAAGTATGTCTGTGTACCAATTCTTTTGGCCCAATTTAGGGCGATAAGGATCACCTGAATGTGTTCTCCCTCTACTTTGCAGAAGAGTCTAGGGAGAAGCTTCACTGGTGGAAATGCATACAGCAGTCTGAATGGGAACCTAGAAATCACCAGAGCAATCACAGAAATACCCAGGGATCCCTGGACCTGTCCGCGAACCTATCCAAGGAGGAAGAAAGCTGAAAGAGGGAGCTCCACTTCCGTTCAGTCCACCAGGCAAGGACAGCCTGCAAAGTTTGGAGAGGAACCATCCCAGCTGCAAAGGCTTGAAAGCAGTTCTATCCACAGCTGCAGGACAAGAGCAGTGTGAGTACCTCTAGAGTAGCTAGAGGGAGAAGTCTGCTGGATGTCAGTTTTGGCAAGTCTTCAGGGCACAGTTTGAAGCTTATTCAATCCCTTGTCCTGGGATCAGATACCATAGCCAGGTGAGCTGATATTTTTTACACTTAGGACTAGCTCCTACATGTTGGGACTTTGCTAAAATCCATTCAAGGTGATTTAGAGCTCCTGCAAGTTGCCGTACTTTGCTAAAGAGACTGTCAGGGCTCCGGCTGGACCATAGTCATTCATCTACCATTTTTGTAGCATTTTATAGAGAAGGAAGTTGTGCTCAACTGTGCACAAGCACAAAAGGTGGAGGCAGGCAGGCCACACTCTGAACTGCCTTGTGAAAGTGGTGGGTTTGTATGTGAATCTTGAAGTCAGGAGGCCCACCTACTCAAGGCGGGTCCTCTAAGAATCCTCTTCTACATACAAGCCCTCTGGGGGTATTTTGGTGCATGGTGGAAGCGGTGGTTGGTAGTGGAGGGCCCCTGGTCAACTTTTGCATCAGGGTCACAAGCTTCAAGCTACGCCTCTGCATACTAGTGTATGTGGGGGGTGGTTATTGACAGCTGATGACAAGCTACTAGGCAGGTTAGAAAATCCACTTTCTTAGTGATGTCAGTATTTGTAAAGCCATTATAGCATTTTCTAAAATAACACTGCTCGTAAAATGAAATATTCTGATTCTAATACTGCAGCTGGATCCTAAAAGTATAACTGATGGAAAGCAAAGCAGATGTTACATTACTAAACTTCATGAAAGAGGAAGTTGAGGGATGTTTAATAGTTTCACATAAAACTAAAAAAATATAAATGGAAAGAACAAGAGAATAACAGTTGTCCCCAGACTCAAAAAGCAGAACAAAAGTATTCTTATCAGCCTTTAACCAGTATAACAACAGAAAGTTTCCCTATTAGTTTAATACTTTAAAGGAATAGTCCACCTTTTGAAAAAATAAATGCACCCAAATTATTAAAATGAAAAAATGTGCATTTATTACATTTTTGCATTGAAGCCTGCAGAGCATTGCAATGCACAAGTCCTTGTTTTGTTTTCACCACAGTTCCATATCTGTACAGAGGTAAGGATCTTGTACCGGCTCAATCTGAGTCTCTCTGCCATGGTGGCAGATGGGACTTGTAGTCTTTCCATTCACAGATCCCTGTGGATGTATCTATGATTGGATGACATAGGTATGTGGGCAGAACCACACATAGCCATGCTAATTTATAAAAAAAAAGGTTACTTCCAGGAGAAGCTCTCATAATTTAGGTAAATGGGGGGCAGTTTGAGCTGTCATGTGATCAGCTGTATCCAATCACAACTGATCGCATGTAAATAGGGAAATGCCAGTTATTGGCATTTCTCTCCTCACGAGCTGTCACGCTGACAGCTCGAGAGGAGAGGAGAGCCGGTAATCGGCATCCCTCAGAGGGGACATGTACACTGATCATAAGGGCACTGATGATCAGTGTGCCCTGATGATCTGTGTAGCCCCAGCAGTGCCACCTGTCAGTGCCCATCAGTGCCACCTGCCAGTGCCCATCAGTGCCACATCAATGCCACATTTCAGTGCCTACCAGTGCACATCAATTCCACATATCAGCGCCCATCTGAGCTGCCTTTCAGTGTCACCCCATCAGTGCCAGTCAGTACCGCCTATCAGTGTGCATCAGTGCTGCCTATCAGTGCCCGTCAGTGCTGCCCTATCAGTGCTGCCTAACAGTGCCAGTCAGTGCCACCTAACAGTGCCAGTCAGTGCCGCCTATCAGTGCCAGTCAGTGCCACCTATCAGTGCCGCCTATCAGTGCCATATATGAGTGCTACCTTTCAGTGCCCATAAGTGATGCCTGTCAATGCCCATCAGTGCCACCTTCCAGTGCCCATCACTGCAGCCTCATTAGCGCACATCAGTGAAGGAGAAAAATCACTTATTTACAAAATTTTATAACAAAAACTAAAAAAACTTTTTTTTTTTTCAAAATTTTCAGTGATTTTTGGTTTGTTTAAAAAAAAATAAAAAACCCAGAGGTGATTAAATACCACCAAAATAAAGCTCTATCTGTCACAAAAAAATGATCAAAATTTCATATGGGTACAGTGTTGCATGACCACGCAATTGTCATTCAAAATGCAACAGCGCTGAAAGCTGGAAATTGGCCTGGGCAGGAAGGGGGTATAAGTGCCCTGTAGGCTAGTGGTTAAACTTCAGATCCGTGCAAAATAAAACAAAAACATACCATAGTGCAACACACCGTTTATATAACCAAAAATTAAACATGTTACAATATCCACTCACATTAAACAAATTATATGTATCTCAGAATTATAGTGAACATACAGTATATGCATTACTCCACCATGCCGACTATATTGTGGTGTGTCCCATCACTGGGTAGTGGAATTAAGGTGTATACGATCAAAAATAAACGGAATAGATCATAGTGCAACCCCATAAAATATGAACACTTTATTCAAATAAAAAATGCACTCACAAAAATAATGAATCAAAAGCATATCGCAGCCATCAATCAAAATGGTTCCTCACATCACTCGTGCCGGTTTGGGCATGACCGGAAGTGACATCACTAGGCTCCACCCAACATGTTTCATCACAGGTCACTTCTTCATGTGTGAAAAAATACAGGAGGCAGTCTTTGACAAGTCCTTTATTAAAAGAAGGAAAATAAAAGAGTGTCACCCAAAGTAGATCCAATGTCAATCACGATGCCTGCCACCACCACCACCCGAAAAAAGAAGAGAAAACAGACCCCGCTCCCAACCATCTGATTGCTCCACTGGCTTGACATTTCTTAAATATGTAAGGGGCAGGGCCACCCAGTGACATCACGTATGTGACCCCGTCCCTGTGTGAAATCATAGACTCAGCATGCCCCTGTCTTTTTTCACACTACAGTTTTTTCTTTGTGAATGGGTAGCAGTACCATGTACCCCATACTCATTCACACGGGGGGCGAGATCTGGGGGCCCCCTTCCTAAAGGGGGCTTCCAGATTCCAATAAGCCCCTGCCGCAGACCCCCAGAGAGAACCTTGTCCCCATCAACATGAGGACAAGGTGCTTTTGTAGGGGAAGCCCCCCTGCCCCAAAGCACCCACCCCATGTTGAGGGCATGTGGCCTGGTAAGATTCAGGAGGGGGTGGTGCTCGCTCGGATAAGGGTCTGGTATGAATTTTGGGGTGACCCCCACGCCATTATTTTTTAAATTTTGGCTTGTGGGTTCCCCTCTGACAGCTGCAACATTAACGCATGGTTTTCACTACTAAAATACCGCATAACTTGATAAAATAATTCATGCGGTATTTTAGTAGCGTTTTTAAGTGAATTCAAACTTTTTTTTAAAAATGCTGTGCGGTATCCTACTGCATACTCGGATGTGGTAAGATACATCTTAGTGAATTGTGCCCCCTATCATGAAAGGTACTCCTTCATCATTGCTGGAATTGGAGTATCTCATACCACATTGGAGGAGAAAATGGAGTAGCAGATGGTTTCAAGTCTTGTGGTGTTGGAACATCTGCAATGGCACATGAGTTGCTGCATAGGGTGTTAGTAACTTGGAGGGTAAAGAAGTATCTTATGAACCATGGTGACCTGTGTGGTTACCTGCTGCAGCTTCTCTAGTTGGCAAATGTACTGTAGGTTGGTGTACATGATTTAAAGTGGCCTGTACAATTGGTTTGTCATTATTTTGGTTTTGGATAAATTGCAAAGTCTGTCTTGCAGGTTAACAGGGTGTCAAGATAGGGTGATAAAGTTCTTTTTCCTAGGCAGCTTGTTCCAAGGCTCTTACAGTAACATAGTTAAAGCCTAGTACACACAATCAGAAAATTGTATGAAAAATACCACTTTCGAAGTGATCGTACGATAATCTGATTGTCAGTACACAGCTTTCGTTTGAAATTATTTGATGGGACAAGCACGAAAATGTTTCTCGTGATACCAGATAGTATGATTCTGGTTTTTTCAGTACACTGATGATGGACGAGAAAGCCTGGCTTGCAGTCTCCATTCTAATTCATCCAAAGGTGTTCTCTTGGTCAGGACTCTGTGCAGGCAAGTCAAGTTCCTCCACCTCAAACTCTCTCATCCATGTCTTTATGGACCTTGCTTTGTGCACTGGTGCGCAGTACTGTTGGAACAGGAAGGGGCCATCCCCAAACTGTTCCCACAAAGTTGGGAGCATGAAATTGTCCAAAATGTCTTGGTATGATGACACCTTAAGAGTTCCCTTCACTGGAAATAAGGGGCCAAGCCCAACCCCTGAAAAACAACCCCACAACATAACCCCCCCTCAACCAAACTTTACACTTGGCACTATGCAGTCAGGCAAGTACCATTCTCCTGGCAACCGCCAAACCCAGACACATCCATCGGATTGCCAGACAGAGCAGTGTGATTTTCACTCCAGAGAACACATCTCCACTGCTCTAGAGTCCAATGACGGCGTGCTTTAAACCACTACATCCGATGCTCTGTATTGCACTTGGTGATGTAAGGCTTGGATGCAGCTGCTCGGCCATGGAAACCCATTCCATGAAGCTCTCTATACACTGTTGTTGTGCTAATCTGAAGGCCACATGAAGTTTGGAGGTCTTTAGCTATTGACCCTGCAGACAGTTGGCGACTTTATTGCACTGTGCTCTTCACCATGCGCTGACCCCGCTCTGTCATTTTTACGTGGCCTACCACTTCATGGCTGAGTTGCTGTTGTTCCCAGTTGCTTCCACTTGTTGTAATACCACTAACAGTTGACCGTGGAATATTTAGTAGCAAGGAAATTTCACGGATGGACTTATTGCACAGGTGGCAACCTATCACGGTACCACGCTTAAATTCACTGAGCTCCTAAGAGTGACCCATTCTTTCACAGATGTTTGTAGAAGCAGTCTGCATGCCTAGGTGCTTGATTTTATACATCTGTGGCCATGGAGGTGATTGGAACACCTGAATCCAATGATTTGGAGGGGTGTCCCAATACTTTTGGCATTATAGTGTATGTGTCACAGAATGCAAGGAAGTAAATGTGCTGGGATATTCACTAAGTAAGCTTACAAGCTTCAAGAGTAATCAGATTAATAGAAGTAGGCTAGAAATGATTGAAATACAATTTGGAAATGAATTTATAATTTCGCAATATGACCATAGATATGTTTTAACTGTTTTGTGTTTAGCAGATATATCTTTACCTATTGCAAATCAGCTTCATCTTGAGGTAGTGATAGTGGCTTACTGTCCTTTTGCAGAATATTTATGTTTTGTGAATGCACGGATCCTTACTAGTACATGTTGTTTGATGTGATGGCAGTGTAGTTGTATCTGTGTGCAATCATGGGTTATGCAGAGATAAAGATGTCTGTTCAGAGCAGAACTCAAACATATTCTATCAAAACACAGCAATTTCAGCAGCAGGGTAATTCTAGGAACAACAGTTTTTGTAGTGCCACAAGCAAAGTCCAATACAGAGAAAATTCCATTACATGCAAGGCTTTGAAAACTGTATAATGATTTGATTCTAATGAGTGAGATTAGACACATCAAAAGTAATTTGGCAGACTGTAATTTGATTCAATCCTCAGTGTCTTCAGAAACAGTGTGATTTCTAAGCAGATCTCAGAGTCTGTATTGCAACCATGTCCTCATTCTGAGTGAGACCATGTGCTTTCTGAGGCACAGGTAAAACTTTACAGAGCAGTGTGTAGAAGGCTTTAGCATGCTGTTCATTCTTCTTACTGTTCTGTTTTTAAATGCAGATATGTGCAACAACATATCTCCAGAAACCCAGTCTGTGCTGACAGTGTGGCCACTTGCTGACCTGGCAGAATCCATAGGCAGCTTAACTCTTTAATACGACACAGAAAGTGACTCCATCATAATGTTACTTCCGATAACTGCAATACAAAAGAAGTATAACAAAACAATGATATTCATAAGCTCTGTCTCTAAAGTGAAACTAACTGTATGTTGGGATGAGGCAAGGAGTGTCTAGCTTAAGACTGCACAAAATTGCAAGAAACAGGAAGGAGAACAAGAGAACACACAAAAGGTGCAAAAATAAATATACTGCTGTAGTAGCACAGTCTGTTTTCAATGCAAAGTCTACAGTGGCTTAGTGGTTATTATCACATCTGCCTTACAGCACTAGCATTCTCATTTCCAAATCCAACCAGGACACTACCTGTGTGAAGTTTGCATGTTTTTCCTGTATTGGCAGGTTTCCTTTGCCGACAGGTTAATTGGCTCCTGTCTAAATTTGCCCTGCTGATGTGAATGTACAGTATGTAAAGCAGTGTTTAAATTCCTGGAGTTATATGAATACCAGCAATAAATACATACAGTCCAGTTATCTGGATTAATTAAAACCAGTTTACTTGTCATAAATATAATGGATTCTGTGAAAATTAGGTGTTAGGCTCAGAATTGACTGGTCAACAAAAGATCAAAAGAAAAATGATAAAAAAGCATCAAATTCTCTCCAGAACATTTTCAAAAACGTTATGTATTTTTTTCTATGACCTAACTTGATTACATTGTTTATGTCCTAATACGTATGACTAATTCAAACACATTTATTCTGGCTCCATTCAATATATTTGTGGATTTGCTCTACAATTATGAATTAGTGGAGAGAAATGGTTTAAAATCCTTTATATCATAGGGTACCTACCAATACTCTTATTT